GAGATGCTCCTTAGTCCCTCTGGTATACAATCTCCCTTGTTTTTGTTTGTTTGTTGGAGACAGGGTCTCACTATGTAGTCCAGGCTAGCCCCAAACTCATGGCAATCCTCCTGCATCAGCCTCCTGAGTGCTGGGATTACAGGGATGCACCATCACACCCCTCCCATTTCCCTTGTTCCCGTCAATTAACCTGAACTCAGGAGACCACAGGTTGTTCCTGTGTTCTTAAACTGATTGGGTTAGGACACAGGGACTCGTGATACTCTTCTCTAATTCTGAATATCTTAGTGGCCCTATTTTCATTTATCCATTTGATGCTCATGGGTCTAACACAGCAGAGGCAGTGGCAGGAGTGGCTTAGGTAGTAACGGATGTGCCTTGATCAGATGGAAAGGGAAATTGGGGATACAGGGAGAGGGGATGGAGGGGAAGGGGAAAAGAAATAAAAAGGGGGCTGGGGATTTAGCTCAGTGGTTCCACTGCTTGCCTCGAAAGCTCAAGGACCCAAGTTCGATCCCCGGTACCAAAAAAAAAAAGGATCGAGATGTGATAGGTATATCTACCAATGTCCCACAATAAATATATTCATTATATAGCACAAACACAGACTAATAAAAAATTTAAAAAGAAGTGAAAATCTGATACACAAATGGTTCCAGTCACTGGAACAGAGGTGAGTGTGCTCACAAGAGCGACACACTCAGATCCAAGGCCAACATCGCTGGTGAGTGCAGACATGGTCTCATCCAGAGCAAGGCCAAAAGATGAAAAGATCCTTTTTGTTTTAGATGGGGGCAAGGGTTGGCAATCTTCCCCTGGAAAGAGCCAGCTGGTAAACATTTTAGGCTGTGTTGCAACTACATTGAGGAGCTAGCAAGCATCTGGAGACAGCACGTAAGAGAAGGAGTGTGGCTGGTTTCCAGTAAAACTTTATTTACAGAAGCATATAACAGAGAGACTTTGCCGACCTCGGGACCAGAGAACAGTATGTGGGGTATGAGGTAGCAGTGTCTTGGTGTTGGAAATACTCAAAATCTCTCCATTCGCTACTTTGACTATACAATTAATTGTTATCAACCCCAGTTGTTCTGTGCTATAAAATGCTAGAAAGTTTCCCATCTAATTGTACCCTTATACCCATTAGCCATTCTTTTTCTATTCCCCCACCCTCACGTGCTTCCCAGGCTCTGATAATCACTATTCTATCCCCTATTCTTTAGCTTCTACATATAAGTAAGAACTTATAACGTTTTTTCAAAGAACTTAAACATAAAATATTTACTTTTCTGTTTCCGACTTATTTCCATTTCATCCATATCATTGCAAATGACAGGATTTCATTTTTATGGCTATATAATATTCCGTGTATATATATACCCCTTAGAGAAGAGGCTCCCTTGTCCTCCATTCAAGGAAGGACTATGGAGACGGTGTCTCAAAAGAGAACGGAGGTGCTGGTGCTCCTTGCTGAAGCAGAGAAATACCTCAGGAGTGTTTTTAAATGGAAACCAGGTTATGACAACATCCTTCTAAACATGGCAAAGCAGGGTTTCTGAACATGCAGGTACGATGCTGAAGGAGAAGCAAAACTGGACTGGGGATTTCGCTCAGTGGCACTGGACCTGCCTGGCAAGCGCGAGGTCCTGAGTTCGACCCCTGGTACCAAAAAAAAAAAAAAAAAAAAGAGAGAGACAGAAGCAAAACTACCCAAAAGTTGAGAAAGCCGACATGCTGTGTCTAGAAAACGACGCCCAACACAGCAGCCACGGAGGGGAAGGAAAAAGCTGGAAAGCTCCTAGGAAATGCGAATCCAGAAAGCGCCAGACAGGTGCATCAATGAACAGCCACAGGTTTGAAAATGAGGAACACTTCACCCGGCCACTGAACCCTTAGGAAAAGCCACAAGGCCACTAGTACCAGGAGGCAGGACACACAAGGCAGCACTCCATTCAGAAAGGGACGGCATCTAGTAGAACTCGTTGGTCACAAGCACTGACCGGGGAGGGCTGCGAGCCAGTCTGCAGCAGGCAGGCGCCGTGGAGTGACGGCCGCACTTCCGCTTCCGGGCTCCCGCACCGACAGGCGCCAGAGGCTGCAGCCCCCAGCGGTCACGCGCACAGCCCACGGTTGGCGGCTCCAGCAGGGAAACCGAGAAATTAAGAAATCACCAGGGATGGAGGCACAACCATGGGAACGTACTTACAGACGCTGAGGCGAACTCTTAACAATGGTTGAAACAATACATTTTCTCCAACTTCGTTTTCCTTTTTATTTTCTTTTCTCAACACCTAGGGCCTGGAACCTGCTAGGTAAGTGCTCCACCACTGAGCTACACCCCAGGCGCCATAAGGGCCGATTTTATGTACGTTTTATCAGGCTATGGTGGGGTGAGTGCCTCGCAGAGTTCCGTGGGCTCCAGGCTCGGTCTCCAGGGTGGCGCTGTTGGGTGGTGGTGTGGAGCCTTAGGACGTGGACCTCAGCGGGCCCTTGGATCACTGGAGCTGTGTCTTTGAAAGAGATGGCAGGACCCCAGTATCTGTATTTCTCTCCTATTTGCTTCCTGGCCACGGAGGCACGAAGGTTTGTCCCACCAGACACTCTACCTCTGTGATGTGCCACTTCACCACAGGCCCAAAGAGGCAGGGGCAGTTCACTGTGGACTGCAACTTGCAAAACTGTGAGCTGAAGTACAGCTTTCCCCTTTGTAAGCTGAGGGTCTCAAGTGTCTTGGTATAGAACTGGAAAGCTAACACACACCACAGCTTTTAAAAAGAAAATTTTAATGAGCAGGAGAAGGCAGAGGAGGAGGAGAGAAGCAGAAGAAAAAGAATTAGAAGGAAAAGGAGGAGAAGCAGAAGCAGATAGAAAAGAGGAAGTAGAGGGAATCAGTAGCAACCCCCAGGCCAAGCGTGGTGGCATTACCACCATGGCAGCTGCTGGGAAAGGTGACTATTCAGGGCTGTGCTGGTGATTTCTGAGGCAAAAAAGAAAAGGAAAAACTATTCCACGCCACTTCACCGAGCTGGAGGTGAAGAGAATTGCATGCTTCCTTGCAGCCATGGTCTTGAACACTAATAAAGATTCTGAATGTTTAGTTAGCAAGGCCCCAAGTCACTGGTCTGTGTCCACTATCTGTGAAGCATCATTATTTTCTTTCCATAAGAGGTTTCCTAAGACACAAACAGGTGTTAATAGGAAATGTACTATCATGTTTTAATACAGTTGATTTTAAAAACTGCAAGCCAAACTCTAGATAAACTATATTCTAAACAAATGAGTCAATAGGTGTGGAATTTTCCCTTCTTAGGTTCATGTAAGTATGACCTTTCTATTTTATTCTATAATTGCTGCTAAAAGGAAAGTTCACTGATAAAAAATTAGAATTTTAAAAATTAGTTTTGTTTGAGCAAGGAAATTCATCCCCCATAATATCGGAGACTAACTACTGTCTTAGCTTGGGCTTCCCTGACAAATGTCACAGACTGAGCAGCTTCACCGACAGAAGTGTGCTTCCTCACAGTTCTGGAGATTGAAAGTTGAAGGTGGCATATTAAGTTCCTGCAGAGGGCTGTCTCCCTGGCTTGCAGATGAATGTGTTCTTGCTGTGTCCTCACAAAGCAGAGAAAGATTCTGTCTGTCTGTCTCCTTAGAAGGTCACAGTCCTCCTGGATTAGGGTACCATTCATAACTTCATTTAACTTTTTTTTTTTTTTGTATCGGGGATCGAACTCAGGACCTTTCGCTTGTGAGGCAGGGGGTGGAACCACTGAGCTAAAACCCTGGCCTCATTTAACTTTATTTACCTCCTAAACACCTTATCTCTAGAGACAGATTAGACATTAGTGCTTCAGCATATGAATTTGAGGGAGTCACAGTTTAGTCCACACCAGGTACATTTAATTAGTGAGACCTTTTGGGACCAGGGATTTAGTTCAGTGGTTCTGGTGCCTGCCTCGCAAGTGGAAAGTCCTGAGTTCAATCCCTGGTACCAAAAAAAAAAAAAAAAAAAAAAAATTAGTGAGATATTTTCAGAGGAAAGGTTGGCACAAGAAGCTATTATTTAGCCCCTCAAAAGATGTATTTAAGGTCTTTTTGCCAGTCCTATAGGTGGTAATACAATATGGCATGATATTTGTAGTTGCAAATACCAGGAAGAAAAACTGTGAGCAGGAAGCTGAGGGTGCGTTGCTGCCTCTTTTGTAATACTCCCATGGGGCCATTAGGGTCTTTAGGTCACAGGCGTGGATTGCTTTGGCAAAACTTGTGAAGAGATTCACACAGTGAGCGGGGAGTGATCAGATGGAGACAGTGCTCACAGCAGATTACTCCGGCAGCCTCAGGAATGAGGGGTGTGGAAAGGGGGTGGAGCCGGGAGAGATGGGGGCTTTTTCCGGACTGCGGGAAGAGCAGAGCCTTCCCAAGTGGGATCGCTGGAGGATAGGCACCAGGACGCCCACCGGGGAAGCTGATTAAATGCAGACCACTGCCCCGCCCCCAGGTACTGACCTGACTCAGTACCCCAAGACCAGGGCGGGCACCCACGTTTGCTGGCAACCCCATCCAGCCACTTTCTGTGCACACTACTTAGTGCCCAGAATGCCCAGAGAGGAGAATTCGAAAAGGCAGGAGGTGGGGAGACCCCGGCCGGCCAGCAGGGTGGGCTGGGAGCAAGAGCCCCAGGGAAGCGGAGGAGCAGGGAAGCTCAGGAGGGTGGCTCTTGAGATGTGTGGTGGAAAAACACAAGGACCGGAAATGAGGCTGGCATTTCTGCATGCTGTGTCTCTTTTCTGGGTGCCCTCTTAATGGGTGCCTTTCCCTGTGGATCTGAGCTCCCTGACGGCAGCACCTGTAGCTGCTTTGTTCACAGTTTATCCTCAGACCCAGCACAGAACAGAGGCTCAGAAAATTTGCAGAGTATGACAGGACCTCCAACATGTTATTGGAAACCAACTGGAAACGGGTCGATTTCAGAGCAAACACAGGCTGGAATGGCTGTGGCGTGCGTCTCCGCAGCGTAGCTGAGGTCACACAAGAAGCAGCCCACAGAGGCAGGGAGCTGGAGAGCAGGTGCGCAGACTCCCGGAGCCCCTGGGAAAGGGGGGGACCCAGGAAGAAACCAGCCTGGGTTCAGTCTGCAGCGGCCAGAGGGAAAGAACGAGCGGGCCCCGCCCACTCTGCCGCTCCATCTCCGCGGACCCAGCGCCCACTCCCACGCCCGTTCTGCGGCACCTTCTCCTCACCTGGAGCGAGGAGCTTTGTAGGTCCTTGGTGGTGCTTACAGTAACGAGGGAAAACTTGAGACTCTGAAGGGTGGGGAGAGAAGTTTTTCTGCAGGCCAGTGTCCCGCTCAGCTCCCACAGCCCCAGGCCTGGGGCCCCCGGAGTGGAATCCAGGCTGCGTTTCTGAAAGGGATCTTTTATTTGGCTCGGCCTAGGCTTGGAGCCGAGCTCCAATATGGAATTAAGGAAGATATCGAAACTAGGATTTTCAAGTTCAATGCAAACTACTCACCAAGCAGCCCTGACAGCCATCGATTGATAGGAAAGAAAGCGCAGCTGCGGCCCGGTTCTAGTTTGGGGCCAAGGCTGGGGAGAGGGTGGGGGTGTGGCCGCGAGGAGGCCGCAGGAGGGGCAGAGGCCGGGCCTAAAGGGCATAGAGCGGTGCTGACTTGCACCCAGATGAGCAGAAAAAGAGCTCCAGGGCCGGGGATTTAGCTCAGTGGTGCCGCCGCCAGCCTCGTAAGCGCAAGGACCTGAGTTCGATCCCCGGTACCAGAAAAAAAAAAAAGCGCTCCATCATCTTTGCTTCCAGAAAAAGATGGGGATAGGCGGGCAGAGTGGCTGAGGACACAAGAAAGAGTCTCCTTCAGACTCTTTGTCTCAAGGCCCCTATGTCCTGGTTGTTTAGTGGAAAATTCACTTACCAGGTCCCATGATTCCGAAGAGAGGCAGCACGCAGGTGCAGGCAGTGGAGCTCATTTCCTTCCCTTCACCTTGAAATAACTGGTGTGGGAAGTGGGCATCCAGAGGCCTGGGTTCGAGAGCAGAGACACACAGCAGAGGTCTGGCGTCTCAGCGGGACCTGAAGCTGCAAGCGTGTTGCGGTTGCCAAGGAGTGTGGCTTGGGGCAGGTTCTGGGGGCAGGCAGGGTGCTGGGCCAGCGGGCTCCGGCACCCCAGTCTCTTGGCTGAATTTCTGACCCTGCTTGGCCATACTGTGGCACTGATCATTGCCACTTCTAGTCCCTCTTGTGTCTCAGGCCAAGCTCCTTGACAGAGCGGGGTGGGGGAGCGAGGGATAAGCTGTGCGGGGGACAAGATCGTCACCCCCCAGACGCGCAGATGCCCGTTTCTCATCAGGGGCCTCTGTAGCAGGCAGAGGGGAGGAACATGAATTACTGCAGCTGCCAAGGGTGCTGGCTGGCGGGGAGGACGGAGCTGGACACTTCCTGTGTCTCAGCACCTACCGGGCTGGAGGGGACACCACTGGCTGAGGCTAGTGGAAGACAGGAAGTTCAAGGAGCTGCAGGAGGAGACCTGACCCGGAGAAGGGCTGTCCGGCTTTGGCCCCAGCTCCCGCCCAGCCCGGCCATGCCACAGCCTCCCTGGGAGCCTCCCTGGGAGCCTGGGGCCCTGAGGAGCAGAGGGGCGCAGAGGTGCAGCGAGAACAAGCAGCCCAGGGTGACAGCTGCCATGTGACAGCACAGACATGCTTTGCTAGTTTAAGGATGATTTGGTGTGGAGTTGGTGAGAAACCGTGATTTTAGAAGAGCCAGGAAGTGCAGCCTCGCGGTGCAGAGTCACTGGGCTGCTCCCCAGGGAAATCCAAGTCACCCTCCAGGGGGAGGGAAGGAGGAGCCAGAAGACTCCACAAGCCAAGCCCACTGTTCTCCTCATGTCCCGTCCAGGCGCCCTCCTCCCACCGCGGTGGCCCCAGGGACCAGATGCCGGGGTGCAGGGAAGGGTTCCCTCCTAACCTGTCATCAAGTACTTACCCTAATGAAGGTCCTGGCTTGTTAGAGGGCTTCCCATGGATTTCCCGGGGATACTTAGTAAGAAGAAAGTCCCCTGAGGGTGGGAAGAGCCTCCCCTGCCACTCACACCCGCCCACAGGGCTCCATTTCTGGTGCCTGGCAGGGGAATTTGGATGTTTAGGACTCTGGGGGCAGAGGTGGGTTTGGGTTTTTGTTGTTGGTTGTTGGTTGGCTTTTCATGTAAAAAATTAATTCCACACTCAGGAAATTCAATAGCTAGAGGCTGGGGCCAGGGGTCTGTGCATCCCCTCCTGTGTGATGGCAGCTGCCACCCGCCAGTCACCGTGTGCCCAGACAGCTGAAGGCCAGGTGGGTCCTCTGCTTCCCTCAGGCTCCTCAGCCCTCTTCCAGGACCTGGATGTTTCCCGTGCCCCAGGGACCTGTTGGGTTGCTGGGCGCCTGGGCCTCCTTTCTGAGACCTATTCTGTTCCCAGCAAAGGGGGACGCAGAGAGACCCTCAGCCTGAGGGAGCCCCACCAGAGCCAGAGAATCGGGTGACACCATGTCAGGCTGAGGGTACGGACTGGGATAGGTGTCCCCTTTCTGCACGAGGGGACACCCAAAGTAGCACATGGTGACCAGTGGCCCTGCTGGTGGATTCCAGGTGGAGTCAGTGTTGGAAGGCCCGAGTGTGGCACCCTAGCCCTCCTCCCTGCGACGGCGCCACCCCGAGAGTGACAGCCAGGCCCGTGTGGGAGGTGGGCAGGGCTCCGTTGGGACTGAGGCGTGGGCACAGAACGGTTGCAGAGCAGGGCTGGTGTTCTCACATAAACAGGGCTCTGGTCGCTCCTCATAAATATTGGGTTCAGTGATTGGGGTATTGTTTTATTTTATCCTGCACTTCCTTGTGACAACTGTTGTGGGTTAATTTTAATTTTCCTATATTCCTGTCTCGGATGGGAACTCCATCTTATATTTCTTTATATCCTCAACAGATGCTATAATGGGTATCTAAACACTGTTAAACAACACATTTGCCCCCTCACTTTGTGATCGTACGAGTAAACTGAGACGGGCTCTTATCTAAACCCAGAAACTGCCTTTACAATAGAAACCCAGCCGTCCTCCCTTGGGCTCCGAAGAACTGTCCTGTCCTGTTCTCCAGCCCCTCCTCCCCGGGGCCATCCCTAAGGTCCCAGCCAGAGCTGAACAGTCCGTTCCCCCAAAGATGGGCCTCTGAGTCCTTACTTTATAAATATGTTGCATTTTATTTTTTAAAAAATCCCAAAGAAGGAAATGATCTGTTGCTGTCCTTTCCTCTCTACCCAATCGCTCGTAGGTGAAAGGCTACAATGCGTGAGAAAATCCATAAAGCACACGCAGAGGAAACGCCCAGGGGAGCACGGAGCCGGGCACAGGTGCGGGGCAGATGAACCCCAGGCTAGCTTCTGGTGAGGAAGGCAGCCAGGGTGGGTGACACCCAGGCCAAAAGCAAGTCCCCGCCCTGCGCCCACCCAGACCAGCAGGAAACCCACCCTGACATTTGGGGAAACTGAGATTCAGGAGAAGAGAGGAACCATCTGAATGAGAGATACTTATGATTATTTCCAGGATATTCCTTTCTCCGAGAATAGAGATAGTGGAGAAGGAAGTATTGTAATCCTCTTTTCTGCTTAGATCCGGTTTGGTTTGGTTTGGTTCCATTGAAGAAGGAAAGGCAAGTTTTCTAGGAACTGAGAGACAAGTCTAGGTGACAAAAGACAGTCACATGTGTCAGTCCCGGAGCTGGGAGCCCTGGCCTCATTTTCTCTGCTTCCCCAAATCCCCACTCTCAAGTCAGTGGGACCTGGGGTCGCCCTCCCCGGCCCAGGACTCGGCACCCGTGCTGGTCCCCACCCCACGCGTCCGCAAGGCACCTTCGTATTCTCCATCGTCACCTTCTCCAGGGAACACTTGCTTGTGTTAATAATTCTTTCTTCTCATTCCCCAGAACTTACACCCTTCATAATCACCTCATCCTCCAACCAGTTTCAACTGAGAACAAGGCTGATGTCGGATTAATGCTGTCCACTGTCAGGATTCTCTGCCCTTCCTGGAGTCCAGGAAATAGGAATTGCGAGTCTGACTCATCATCCAGGGGAGTGGTAGAGCCTGGAAGAGCTGGGATTGGGTGCCTGCTAAAAGATCATTGCAGGGAAGGGATCTGTCCCGTGCCCAAATGCTGCTGCTCCATCAAGTAGACTGGGTAGGAATTGGGGCCCTCGTGATCCTGTAGGCCATCGTCCTCCATGTTCCGGGTCAGGGCACGGCGTACTCGAGTCATAAAGGAGACCTGAGATTGCAACAAGAAAGGAGGGATGAGAACCATCTGCCCCATGTTCGCTTTCCTCAGCACCCACATCTCAGGCCTGATTCTGTTCTTCCAGTCCCCGGCCTTTCAGTTTGCTCCTTTCCCAAGATTCCGTCCAAGCTCCCAGCCTTATTCCAGGCCCAGACCCAACACTCTGAGCCCAGACTCTACCTCCAGTGCCCCGCCCTGTCCTATTCTTGCCCTTACACCTGTCTTTCTCACACCTGCAACTCTTACCTCCAATCTCCAGATCCCTCTCTTGCACACCCTTTTTGTCTCAGCCACAGCCTTCTCCCCAGTTCCCACTTGCACATCTTGTGTGTTCATTCCTTTCCCTTACCTTTCACTACCACCCATCCGCTTCCAAGCTCCACCTCTACCACCTCTTTTCCTAGACACACCACTTCCTCTCACTCTGGCCCCTGATCCCTCCTCAATCCTTATTTCATGGACTCATTTCTCTGTCCCTTACCAAGAAGATTAGAATAAAGAACAACAGCAGGAGAATCACAGCCACCAGGACCACAATAACTATGGCCCATGCAGGGAATGAATCGCTTGCCCCCTTCTCTCCAGTGTAGGGGCCTGTCTGTGAGGCACCGCTACTCTGCTGTGGGTGACTCTTACTGCCTGGGGCTTCTAACGTGATGGAGCTGTGGTCCATTCCAGAGGTGGTGAATGGCAAAGAACCAGCCGACTCTTGATGGGTGACCTCAGTTGTGTTCAAATGAGGAGAGGCACCTGATGTGGCTCCTGGGACCTTGACTGTACGTCTTGTAGTCTCTGTGATTGCTGCTGGTGCTGTATTTTCTGGGGTTTTTGTGGATTTTACGAGGATTTTTGTGGTCTCAGTGGTCAGTGTGGTCTTCTTTGGGTACACGATAGGAGTTTTGGAGATCTTTGTGGTTTTCTCTATGGTTGATGTCTCTTCTGGGTGTTCTGTGGACTTTGGCGAGACTTGTGTTGTCTTCTCCTGGGCTGATGTAGTCTTTTCTTGATGATCTAGAGGCATTGTTTGGGCTTTTGTGGTCTTCTCCTGGGCCAATGTGGTATTTTGTTCAAGTTCTTTAGGTGTCACCTGGGCCCCTGTGAGCTCATGGGCCGACGTGGTCTCTCCGCCATGTTCTGGAAGTATTGTGTGGGGTCCTGTGAGCTCATGGGCCGACGTGGTCTCTCCGCC